CAAATCTAAAGATTTGATGATAGGTTCTACATGTGAGTGGGAACATGCCTTATTTATCTTTCTATGTCTGGGTTACTTCACTATCATCCCATCTTAATTTGGAACTACCATAAATCAAAGATGTATTTAATACACCTAACCTATCCAAATCATAGTACACCAAGGCAACGTCATGTGACTGGGAGCTGCAGTTCACCTTAAGTGCTCAATGGTACATGGCAGTATACTATTACATATCACTAGTGCAGAGAATGTTCAGACTTCAGAATTGGTAGTAGAGTTTCTGCTAAATATGTATCCCTTCCATAGCTCTATAAACTCAGAAATTCTTCAATGGACCCATCATAACTAGAGAGTGCTTGTGTTGGAAGCATATGCTGGACCCTTAGCCTGCAGTGCCTCATCACATCCCCTAATATACTCTTGGCAGAAGTGGCCTGTGCATGCACAGGTACAGGAGTATAGAATGCCATCCTGGTGAGGCAGCTGCTTCTGAACAACTCTATGCTGAGAAGACATGAACATTTGGTTTGGCTGTTAGCTGCCACTGACTCGGAGAATTGCAGAAGATATAGCAAGAATCAGGAAAGGGGTAGAATTCTTGAAGAGTGCAAAGAGAGAAGAATACAGAAGAGGCTAAAGAGATTGCTTGATAGCCTAGTGCAACAGAAACAGCCCAAGGCAACCTTCTCGTCCTTCTCCAGATATGTGAAGCCATCAGAGGTGAAATATGGTTGGAAGCACATCTCTTCTGCCCTTTTCTCTCATCTTTTGCCACACAAGAAGGGAGCCACTGGAGCTGGGGAGATGGTTCAGCAGTTGAGAGCGTTTGCTGCTCTTACAGAGACCCTAAGTTTTGTCCCCAGCACCCATATTGGTGGCTCACAACAGCCTGTAACTCCAGCTCTAAGGGATATGGTGCCCTCTTCTGGCCTCCACACACACACACACACACACACACACACACACACAGAGAGAGAGAGAGAGAGAGAGAGAGAGAGAGAGAGAGAGAGAGAGAAATAAAAATAAATCTTCAAATAGAGCCATAGCACTGTAAAGAGCTAGTCACTGAATTCTCACCCAAGTTCTCCAACTCACTTGCCAGATAATACACTGGGAGAGATTCATCTTTGTTTTCTGTAAGATGGATACAACACTGTGTGCTCTCTGTCTTAAGGAGACTCCAAGATCAGAAAGAGCCTACGGGAACATCCTTTGGAGCTCTAAACGTCCCTGGAGACATGAAAAGATTTTCTTGCTTTCTGTTGCTTCTGTCTAAGGGGGTTATTTTTTCCCAGGGCATCAAAATATAATTTAACATCTGCCAATGTCCTCAAATACAACCAATTCTGTGAAATTCTACCAATGGTAGAATAACAAATGAGCTCAATATAATTTTCTGTGCGAACAAAGAGATATAATTAGAGGACACTGTGGCTTCCTGAGGTGCTGTGAGGGAAAGTGGAATGGAAGTGTCTGTGATCCTGTCCTCTTTGGCACTCTTGCAGATCCCATCTGGAAAGTGCTCAGCCAGAAGGTCTCCAGAGTCTAAGTATTGCCTTTGCCTGTAACTGTTTCACCATAGATTTTTCTGCCTGGCCCCATGGCCCTGTTTCTAAAGTTGCCTGACTTAGGTACATAAGGCAACATGTTCTCCATTTCCTTACCCTCACGTCCTTGTCATATAACTAAAAATCCCCTTGTTTACTTTTAAAATACACACACAGGCAGGAAGCTGGAGGAGTTACCTGGACCATGCTGGCAAATGATCAGACTAGTTCCCAAATGATCTTTTTTGAAACAGTCAGATAACTAAAGGTATTTTGACTCAACTTACTGAGAAAGTTGCCTTAGTCTGTGTGGCAGTTTCTATTGATTGACGACTTGACAGGAGCTAGAATCACCTTGGAGACAAATCTCTGGGTGGGTCTGGGAGGAATTTTCTTGATTGGCTTAATTGATAGGCAAAGATTCAACCTAGGTGTGCAGAGCACCGTTTTACCAGCT